TTCTGCAAATGAACTAATATCAAATATGCTGAGTCTAGGGATGCACCCATTTATCAGCAAAACATTGGAAATGGCCAATATTTGTGTTTTCGACTACAATCGGCTGTCTTCTTTCTTTATAGAAATATAGGATATTGGAGAATTCATCCTGTTTCAAAGATTTGACACAATTGAAGAAATAGAGCTGCAACAAGGAACAGGGAGCCGTAGGTGTACAGCAGTTGTTGAAAGAAGAAACCAATCAAATCGTCACATCATGTCACATGCAGTTCACTGTGATCCAATGCATGATGACCGTTGGCCTCCTTCAAACAGAAAGGCTCAGACCTCTGTGTCTTTAGTTCCGTTAGCTGTTATCCCAGTTAGCTGTATTAGCCATGGACAAACAGCTCATCTTTCACACTACTATGTCTGCATGGTATCCTCCTGCAAAGCTTTAGGGCAAAGAACAGCTCAGCCTAAATTGGTCATTTTGTTTAGCTTAGATGAATACAAGTTTAGCCAAGACTAACTAGAGCTATGACTGACTAGATAAGTCTGAGAGGGCTAGAATATATAAAGCCTTTTTGATTGTTTATATAACATTTGGTGTTATCACCAATGTAATATATAGGACACACTGAGGGAAGAATCTAAGAAGAGCAAGCTGCTTTTTTCTCTTAGAAACATGTCATGGAAAATGTCTATTGCTCTTTAGCAGTATATTCAGTGTTTAGATAATAGGTGTCATCACATACTCTTGTGTTTCAGCTGAGTGGCTTTAAAGACATCTGGTGGCCAGCCTACATGTTTTATTCACATAGTGCACTGACAGTAGTGTGTGTGTGTGTGTGTGTGTGTGTGTGTGTGTGTGTGTGTGTGTGTGTGTGTGTGTGTGTGTGTGTGTGTGTGTGTGTGTGTGTGTGTTAGATAGAGACTGATGTGGTCTCTCATTACCTGCTGGTGTATAGGCCAGTGTAACAGTATCTGCACCGCTAAACACACTACCTTATACCTGCTACTTGGTTATAACCGTAATGTAAAGTCATTATATTAACAATAATGAAGCTTTTTTTCATAGCACAACAGGATGCAGCTCAAAGTACTTTAACAATTCAGCACAAGACAAAAGAAGACTTTCAATTTGAGTCAGAGGTTAAAACATTTCAGCACACATTCAGCATGTGTACATGATACCTTCATGATCCCAAGAAAGTAAGAGCAAGAGAATACATCCAATCAAATAGCCTTAAAGTAAACAACAAATGACCCCCTCGGTAAAAGTAAGGCAGAAATAAGGCAACATTTATAAATATGTAAAAAAAAGAAAAAAGGGAATGTTGCTAATTAAAAGCAAAGAGGGAAAAAGTATGCTTCCAGCTGGAGTCTACAATAATTCTGCCTCTAACAGTTAAGTTCTCTTCTAAATCTAGGGGTACAAAGGGAAGTAACAACACACAAAATAACCGGGCGAAAGAAAAAGGAGAGGAAACTGAATGCTGAAGCCACAGTGAGGTTTTAATTAATACAAAAGTAAACAGGCTCACCAGCCAAATTGCAAAACAAACTTAACAGGTTAAACTAGGCCTCACATGCAGCCAGAGGAGAAGGAGAGAACAACTGCAGCAGAGGTTGCGCTAGACTTTTCCGCTGCCCGTCATTTTTAACGGACAGGATCGTAAAATCTCCGTCAAAATCCATTATTACCCGTCGGTCTGTACGCAACTGACAGGGGGGGGGG